CACTCTCTGACAACTTTTAGCCATGTGGATCTGCCCTCATCGGCTTTGCTCGGTTCTTCTTCAAAACCAAAGAACGACCGTGTTGAGTTTTTACGACAGATTTGGCGTATAGCAGCTGGAACGCTGTCTCTCTCTATCATGGGAATTTCGGCTATCAAGGTCAGCACACGCATAGCTGCTGTCTATAGCGAAAGAAGAACTATCACATCAACCGATGCGCAAGCAAGAAAGAAGATTATGAGCTTCACTACTCAGCAACATCCGATCGTCGAGGGATGGGTTCATGGGAAGGTCTTGCATGCATTCGCTCACTGGACCATAGATATGTGCGCTGATCTAACTGACCCCATGCAGCACGCGCTTGCCACCATTTTCAAGGCGACTGTAGTCAGAGCCTCTCAAGTCCTGAGGTCTCTCGCTGAAAGATGCGGGTGGCAAGGTCTCTTCGCGTACAATCAAATAAGCGAGCTGGATCTAACATTTCACGGAAATTCAATTGCCGAAGGCGATACATTGGTGTTGTGTATTCGTATGTACCATTGGCATTTGCCTGCTGGCAGTCGCCTTTACTTCACAAGTAAGCTGACCATTTCCGTTCCTAGGCTTCATGTCAGAGCTTTTGGGAGGGAAATTAGATCTCCCACAGGCGCGGAACAGATCGTCTCGCTTGGCGCAACGCGAGGAAGACTTACTGGCAGACATGAAATCGCGGCTTGAGAGAGTCGGGGGTTATGAGGAACATCGTGGCGCTTCATTTGATCGTCACATTCTACCTCGATGCCGATTGCTGGCCGAAGCAATCGGGCATCGCATGGCCTATGAGGCCGCCGAGAACGCGGGGCTCTCGTTGGATGTACTGTTGTTGTATGAGCGGATCTGCCTGTGTGAGGATTTAGATCCTATGCCTGCGCCTGGGCGAGCAGTCCAGGCATATGCACCCTCTCGAGCTTCTGAGTCCTACAATGCAGTCTTGGCCCAGATCAGATCGGAATCTGCTTCACAATCTGATTTAGACGATTACGTGACAGCACCTATCACTTCTGATGAATCGTGGGACTCATTTATGAACGGTCTACGTGCGTTCAGAAACCTGGACGAGGTCCCGGCGCTTCCTTCGAAACTATAAAGACTGGCAGGTGTTCGCCCAATCATCAATATCGGTCTCTTTTAATCCTTAGCTAGTTTAGGTGATACCTTGCGACAGATACTCATGTGTCCAGAGATTAGTTTAGGGGAGATCCTACGGCTCCTTATCAAAAGAAAGGATAAATACATACCATTTGTGCAAAGGTATCACCTCCCTTTCGTCTCCTAGTGCGAGGAAAAGATAAGCATCTTCTCATATTTTGTTGCTCGACTCGCCATATGTTATCGGAACCAGGAAAATGGGTGGGTAATTCCTTGTGTTTGCCATTGTGTGCTATATGCTCAAGTGTACTTCCCTGTATTCTTCTACTTCTTCTTCTTCTTCCTTCCATTCAACTTTGCTATCTTACTCGGATGGGATTGAACAAGCTGCCTGGAATCACTAAAATTATACTAAGGAAACTAAGATCTTATTCGTCCTTTTACAAACTGATTATGTGATTTCAAGAGTACACTTGACATTACGAGCAACCGAGCTGTTGACACATATACCATAAGCTAGGCGACCGCCGCAAAGGGCCATAGTTCATTCAAAATCTTTCGTTTTCTTTGCAGCGCCAGGCCGAAATATCAGAATTGAGTTACATATACCTGATGTATGGGATGAGCGGCTGGATAATTGTGCAACAAGATGCCAATGAAGATCAAACACTGTGTCAGGACTCGCGCTTCTGAACGGTACACCCCCCATTCCAAAGAGACAGTGTACTTTACTCAAAAGATTCCACGACCAAGGCACATTGACATCTGCACATACCGTTTGCAAACTCGGGGATTGTAAGAGACAGCACATTCAGCCATGAAAAGAGGTAGCTTCATTCAATACTAGGATGAATGCTAACTTGACCTGTCAAGACCCCAATAGAAAACGGAACTATGGAGACAGAAAATAGATATTTATAAGATAAGGCAAACGATGCCTATCACCAAAGCATTTACATATGTATTGTCCAGATAAAGGGAACATCCTTGTGAAGTATAATTGGTCTATTCAAGAGTCTACGTGAACCCGTGAACCTGACTAGCTGAATGAGAACTCTTCCTGTAACCCTACAGAGGAAATGCAAAGACGTAGTGAAGGATACATGGATGTCCGTACTGATGGAGAGAGGTGGCCATCGAGGGCACTCCAAGTTTATATCTGGTGAGATAGAAAGCCTAGTCACCAGAGAGCACGTAACAGACTCGGAGGAAACATAGAAACCAAGATGAAAGATGGACACGAAAGTCTAAAACACACCAAAACACGGCAAACAGGGCAAAGAATGACAAGGGCGCCCTGCTAGTTAACTACTCACCATGACTTGCCCGACCGCCAAGTCGGACACCAGGCTGATGATTCATTAGTGATCCGAAACTGAGCCCTTCTGGTGATTGGAAAGGGAAAGGGTGTCTTTTATAAGTTTTATTTTATTAAGCTATTCAAAAAATTATCTGTACTTGTTATATATGTACAACTTTAACTTATTTATTACAATTCATTGTACAGTATTGAGCACTCGCACCTTTCGGTCTGAAACAACATGCTCTTTATAAAGTCTAGGGTGGGGCCTTCGAGCCACATGGGCTGTACTTCAAAATACGATTTTTGTCAGAAATGGGCCGGCTTGTGAGTGCGTAAGCAATTTCTGGCTGGACGAATGAAGTACTTAGAAGTATCGCTGCTGCCTGAAATTCCGGGGCGCGAAACTGGGGAAGTGGGGATACGATGGCAGTGCGAGTCATGAGTACTGTCGCTTACATCGATGAAGAATGTGTCAGACATTACGTGTATTCGGTTCATTGATGTGAATTGGTGTATTCATGTTGTGTTCTGTTGAATTCTGCCCCTTAGAGGTTTTACCATTTCGGTTGTAATCTTAAAGTATCCCTGCTTGCACGTGAGATCCCAGCATCTGTTCAACAGAATGTACATCAGTATGTCCACTTTCAGTATAGACATGAGAGTACACAGTGCGACTGACTACTTATGCTCGGCTTATGGGGCTTTGTACTACAAACAAGAGTTATTGTATGAGAGGAAGGTGCAAGTGCTCGATACTCTAATACAATTACTCTAACTAGTTCATATTAATTTAAAGACAATGATTCTAGATTTAAAATATTACTAAACTTAGTAATTAATTCAGTATCTAATTATGATATTTAACCCTTTATATTTCAATACACTAAAACTGTGACGCCTATTTTATGGTTAGGTCATAAGTTGTGATTACCGTTTAGACCGCTTACCCTGCTAAATTATCATTATACTAGAATACAATAGCACTTCACTCCACCACGTGGTCTATTTTAGAGAATGGGGTAGTATTTATCACTCATATGTACGTTCATTGCCCAATTTTTGTCCCAAGCGCACATTTATTATACTCAAATGAACTCTCAATAGCGCCCCTGTAAACTTTCAAGACACTATTCAATCCCGCAACTGGAAACCGAGTTCGCGAAACAACCATGCAAACAAACCGCTCAAAACTGGGACTCCTCTCGCCTGGCCCGTCGCGCAGACCAAGCTGTAACATCTAGGTTTTGGCTTATGAGTATTATCTTGATTTGTAACGAAATGTAGTTCTAGTAGATCTCATGAGATTTTAGTAATTATGCAGCCCGCAGGTAGCACATGGGATTCCAACCGCATGTGTATTGTGTCCTGACCTTTTAGCGGTCCCTGTCCTTGATGGCAGGATTTGATTGATGACAACATATTTCTCCCGTAATTTCTGCAGCCTTTTCATGAGCGCAGTGTCATGGTTAACTGGGGTCCAGCGTTGATTGTATTCTGTTAGGATATCCTTCCATGACGTGTTTTTCAGTCTTTCTTCGAAGATGAATCGTTCGCTCGGCAATAGGCATCTCAGGATATTTTCATATGAGTAGATATTTGCGCTTATAGGTGGGTTTGTCTGGGCGGATTGCTGGTAAACGGTGCTTTGGGTGGACGTGAATAGGGTTGTGTCCGACATTGAGTGATCAATGGAGCTATAGTTGGTGGGGTATTGTAGAGGGTGTAAGGCAGGACACAAGCCGTGGCCTTGACAACATGGATAACCCCAAGGACAGGAATTCAGGGTAACTTCCGGTACCATATCGTAGAAAGGAATGTTTTCAGTGGGAAGGGCGGAACTACTCAGTTGTGTCCGGGGCACAGTCTGTGCTGTATCTTGGGATGGAGGCGCTGGCAAGTCGGCAATAGGAACTGAGTGCGGTGGAGGAACTAAGCCAGATGGCTCGAAGGGCTGGGTAGTGCTGAGGTGTGGATGTATGAATGTCCCTTGCTGCCGCGACAAATCATAGTCCATCTCAGAAGCTAAATGTTGAGCCGCGATGCGACGGTGTCGTGAAACTTGATAAAAAGAAACGGGGAAAAAATGAGGAAAACTGGATTTGTGACAGCTTCAACAACTTTACTTTTCGTTCCTATCTGGCGCTGTTTTTCTTCTTATAATGCATCGCACATTCAGTACCCGCCTGTGAGCCATACTGTCGGGACGTCTGCCTCTCGTTGTGTTGGTTCAGAAAGCAATACTCAGTACCGATCACCAACAGCATTTTGCTACTGCCTTCTGTCATGGATATTGAACCCCTGCCTGGGACCAGTAAGTCGCAAGCGCTGCCCTCGTTATGAATATGATGACTCCACCCACCCATGTCAAACCAACATGATCAGGCCAAATCATTACCCCTTCAAGGCAAGTGTCCGAGTACCAAGACGCGATCCGTATCGACACTTTGCTGAGGGGCTTCACCTGATAGTGTACAGGAAAGATTTTGACTTTATTAAGCTACCAGGCGGAGCAGGGGAGCTGCAGCCGGAGACATGACGAAGGCGATTGGTGAGGGTGAAGAAGCTTGAGAGGTCTGCAGAAGCCTCATGATTCTTTAATCCGCAAGTGACAACTTCAGCTCCCGTGGTAATCAACTCGATTCATCAGAATCTTGCTTCTATCGGCCGCCTTTCGGTATGTAACGAGGTCAGTATCATAACATCGCGTACTTCATATGACGAGAATGAGCAGAAAGGCTGGGCATTACGCAATTAGCACTTCCCGATCCAGCCAGCGAAGTCTCCGGCAGCTTGGGCCCTAATTTAGTGCTGTGAAATCGAGGTGGAGAGTGACAGGGATCAGAGTCCGTCCTTGAGGGTTAAGAACAAAATGTTTGTGAAGCATTGACATTCATGGGTCCGGTCATTGCGTCAAAGCGAAACACGAGGTCATGTAGATTGACTAGCCTTTTCAGGGTGAAGGAAGACAGACCCGCCTCGATAAACAAGACTGCTCATGTCGCTGGGCTTCTCGCTGCTGTCTTTTCCAATCAGACCCATTACCGACCAGAGTGGAAAGCCTTTGGGGATGCGACATATAGGATGAGTGACTATAGGTTCAACTTCGATAACCAAGTTTTGCGCCGCTTCGACGAATTAGTATGATCATCCAACTTATCAATGTCTCACGACCAGACCTGATGAGAAGCTTGGCAGCATGCAAGATTGAAACGAGTTGACCAATGCAGCAGTATAAGCCGTTGAATGTTACAATCAAGACACTTTCTTTAGTTCGTCGACTACAGTAGCTTGTAAATTTGGCCTCTGCAACCGGGCCCTGAGTCAGTCGCACCCCAAGCTCAATTTTAAATCGCGCATGCATGTATACCTGCGAGGGCGTGCTACCCCGGAAGTCTTCCCGCGCCGGATCTTACGGACATGGTCAATTGCTACTGTAATGTTAAATCCGGCAATTCCCGAAACCGCGGCTGCATCATCGAGATTCGAGGCTTCCGCTTCCCAACAACAATTCCGCTCTGGAAGCCACCCTATTCAGCCAGCCGTCACACATCCAAGCTAATTAAAACGGACACTGAGCTGTAGAGTGCAGCCGTACGAGCGGCAATGCAGCCGTACTCTTTCAAAGATCTTTGGCTCCCTCATTCAACCCAGAGTATAAGCTTCGCGGACCCTGGTGGGTTAAGATTAAGAGAGACAATCTTGCCAGAATATGGTATTGCTCACGAATCCTGGGCGCGCCGTGGTTCCGTGATACATCCGCAGCCTTGACGCAATTGAGATGAGCCTCGCTTCCACCAGATAACGTCAAACTTGGGCAAGGAGTGGGTTTTCACGCGTCGCTTCTAATAGATTCTCCAGATGCGTGCCTGGTTTCTGACTAAAATGTATTGTGCGACTGACTCGGGCGATTCCAAGAGGCTGGTGCAGGTTATAGGCCGTTAATGTGCCGACCGTGGGGGCACCGTTGCTTTTGCCCTGTTGCTCATTTCGTTCCTGGATGGCCGCGTGCCCCAGACCCCGACAAGGCTCAACATTGATCTTCTTATTGGACGTCTACCGTTAGTCGATACTCCACTGCATGCAACAAAGACGACCATGCTCTCTTCTCGTAAGTGCCAGAACTCATCTTTTCTTGTCGCTGATTGTTGAATCTTCTTCGAATATATACCATTTTCTTACATATTTGAAGCTGTAGAATGGGTGTTAAGTCGTTGAAATGGATTGGAGTTCATATCAGAGCCAATCAAGTCAACTACACTCTACTTTGTAGTCAGAGCACAGTTTAATGAGTTGCAAAGATAAAACAAACCTAGGTTGATTGGCTAGGTATTCAGTTAGCACAAAACGAGCAGCCCCGTGGGGTCTAGCCCTACTAAGGTTAGCCACACCTAAATTCCAATCCTCTTTCATTTCGACCCTCGCCTCATTCATTGTATGACGTGATTGGGCACGGATAAGCCGGTTAGAATAAACAGCTCGCATCCGCATGATTGTCGGGTCCTGTGACGCTGGCGTCTTGGCAAGCAGTCGGTAGTTCAACAAGCCTCCGGGTATGGAGGTCCGTGAATTAAATAGAACGTCTAACCCGGTTTTACTAGGATGCTAAGTCTGATGAGGAATAGTTATAGTGGTTGGATTTGTAAACTGATGAGCACAATGGGGCTAATTTGTGACAGCGCTTACTAGCTGCAGCAGACTAGATTGGTCGATCAGCGACCTGGATGTTACTTACCAATCTTCTCTCTCAATCTCTCTTCGATCATTCTGGCAACCGCAAGGATGTAAAGAACGATTAACGCACTGGGAAGGGAACATGTTATTCCTTTTTTTTTTTTTTTTTTTTTTTTTAGAATGAGTCTCCAAAGTGTCAAGCTTGTGAAGAAACCGATAGATACGGGTAGAAGTACAGTGGGATGCAAAAAGTATTCGCAGGTGTGTATGTTAGCTACGCTAGTTAGTAGCTTAACTTAGCTTATGTACTCGAGACTAGGTTATTCCGCTGATCTCGGTGTAATATAAGGGTATTGAGAACCTGACAAGCTACCCCTAACTAGCTTCCGAGCAACAAACCTATCTACACACCTGCGAATACTTTTTGCATCCCACTGTACGAGGTGAATTATCAAAAAGGTTCCGTCCATGGGCTAAGAGCTTAAGGCCAGCGGAGCATTGGAAGACCCACATTGGCCTCCGATTGGTGGCACGGACGAAAGGAAGAAGGCCGAACTGGTGCATGGATGCCGATGAATGAAAACTTTTCAAATGCTATATTGAAGATGGAAAGACTAATCTTATGATGCTAAAGGTCTACCTGACGGTGTGTATCACAACTGGCTAAGGGTAAGGTATGTACCTCGCAGTAGATGGTCACCATGCCCGACTTCCATAGCCAATTTAGGCATAGAAAGGCCGCTATAGGGTACTACACTGTCAATTACGTCTTCGTCGTGGCCCGCGAGCTATCAAGTCCTGAGAGCCTGAAGGAAGTTAATAAGTCAAGCTGTAAATCCCAGCATTTGCGTTACTCAAATTTTGGTTTTGTACGGAAGGAAATGTCGGATCATGTCTTTAAATACACTAACATCACGTTTACCCAGGCATCGGTTCGATTTTCCCTATGGAACAATAAACCTCACCAAAGGGCGCCATAAGCTGAGAACAGATATGTGACAATCTAAAGACATTAGAAAGAGAGCAAAGAATCTGATAATTCGCAATCACAAGAATACTAGACAATTTCCGACTCTAGTTCGACCAAGGTTTATTTCGGAACTGTAATTGCCAGCTTATTTATCCCTTAATGTTTCGGCCGTTGAAGATGACTCTATTTTAATTGTAAAACCAATACATGGCTGCGTAGGAAGTGCTATCAACTCCTTTCGTCTTGCATTCGTGAGAAGCACCGCTGGCTGTCAGAACACGGTAGACAAAAGAAATTCCGTGGCTGCCGCCAGCATCACCAAGGAAGAGCCAGTCCACAGCACCAGTGCCATCGGGTCCAGACGGGGAAGAATCAGGAGCTTTGATGCCGTCAATTTTCTTTGCAATCAGCAGTTGACAAGCCTTGTCAAGGTCGAAAGTCGGAACACCGACAGAGTTGAAGTAATGATGGCCAAGGTAGGAGATTTCTTTGAAAGGCTCCTAACCTTGAGATCCTGTTTCTTGGGAAACGGTCTGATGGGGGAGGCTCCGATACCATTTTCATTGAGATCCAGAGGAACTTTCAGCGTGTTTAGAACCTCACCTGGGAGCGAAGCCCATTCGGCTTGTGTCAGAGATGAGTGGCTTTGTCCGGGGTAGAGATGAGTGACATCGTAAAGGACAGCTAGAGCACCGACAGATTTAGGAGTGGTATCGGTATCGGCGCAGGTGTAGTTTTGAATACCAAAGCCAAGCGCGATATGCTTGAGAGCCACTCCCTGAGACGGTTCAGGGAGCTCAGAAGCTGTAGGCTACGCCAGTTCAACTGAAATCTTTTCATATGTCTACATGGCGGACTTAATTCTTACCACCACCATTGCTTGGAAGGGTGGGATTTGGCTTTGCGGGTATGCCACTTTGACTTGGACATAACTTATCAATTGGCGGCGAAGCCAAAGCAAATGCAGCTAAAGTAAAGGCGACGGAAAGCTCAGCTAGCATGGTGACACTGGGTGCGTAGTAGTGTCGGAAGGCGAGCGATAATATTGTGGACGATGTGACTAAATAAGGGAACTTACCCCCAAGTAAGGGAGAATGGGTTAAAAGATGTGGTGATCTTTATAATAGTAGCAGCCGTAAGAGCAACATTACAAACACGGGGCGTTTCTTCGTAAGTGTTTATTTGATGAGTGATGAACCGAACAAGCATTCTCAATCCCGCCCTGCTTGTGTGTCTCAAAACAATTCCTTGAGTGGTGTATGTTGAAATGAAGCCCCGAATTCAATCATAATTTTGCTTTTCTAAGGCGTTGCCCCTTGGCACCCTTCAGCTACTACCTGTACCGGTCGCAGATCAAAGGGCTAGTAATGCTGCTACACAGACAAACTCCAATTCACAGAGCCGTCAGCCCCATTCGTTTCTCAAGGGATCATCGTCTAGTAAACACCATCGCAGCCTGTAGGGTGGCTGGGGGTATAGTGGGGTAGGTACATGCTGCGGGTATATTTCTTCCGGGCACCCTTTTTACGATTGGTTATGGCGGGTCATTTTATCCAGTTTTTCCTGCCCAATTAGACCGATACAAATTTTGTTAGGATTTACTGTGAGGGGTATCATAAAGAAGATATGACATTTCTTTACTCTCAGTTGTTGCCCTATAACTCTACCAACATAAACCTCAAGGATTACCGCAGGTTTACTTCCCATTATGTCTGGAATCTTTGCGCTATCTCAGGAGGTTTGGGATCGTATCTTTAATTATCTTGATTTGGGCAACCTCGCCAGCGCGTATGAATGTAACATACACATACGCAGCCGTGTGGAAAAGTTCTTTTCGAACTGTTACTATACATCAAAACCAGACACACCTACGGGACCGTGCGGCGACCCATACCAGATGATTCAAAGATTCTTATCTCTTTTTGATAGTCAAGCCTATCTAGCAGCTGACGAGATCCTGGCCCAGTTGCACAAGAGTTCGGATCGTGGCGGACCGTGGTGGAAAGAGGCTGTGGCAATAGCGCTTATGGCACGACGCTGCTATGATGCATCCGAATATTTTTATTTGTCCAGTCTTGAAAACCTCCCTTCGGAAAAGGATACAAAACGCAACGCGTTTTTGACTGCAGCACGTTTTGGCCGGGACCCGGAACCTGGTGCAGAATTGAAGCCGGACGATAAATGCTGGGCATCTACCTGGATGGCTTATCATGGTAAAGTCAATGATATAAAAGCCCTAGAAATGAGTGGGGAGCAGTTCATAAACGTCGAAGCCTACAATCCGGCCACCATGGCGGCCATATCTGGGCACATCGATACCTTGAAACATTTGCATTCTGTCGGCTTCGACTTGTGGCTACATGCCTATCAGGGTCCCAATGTACCTAGTTCACCATTGGTCGCAGCCTTAGAGCGCGGACATGAGTCGGTGGTCGAATATCTATGTGGAAATGGTAGCATACAGCGGTTGACAGATGACCAAGTCTTCCATGCCTGTAGAGCTGCTGCCAGTAACGGCCACGTTCATGTCCTTCGTCGAATAGAAAACTGCTATCCCAAGGAGACCGATGACTGGTGGTACAATCACGCCGGCGTCGGGGGTGGATTATATCCCAATCGAATTGATTGGTATATCTTCGGCCCTGAGAAACCGTTGAAAGAATCAGAACGTGCTGCCATGCTGCAGCATTTCATCCTGAAAGAGTTGTACGATATCCATGCCACCGACCGGGATGGCAACAATGTCTTACACCTTGCTGCAGCTGAAGGGAGTCTTGATTTATTCCGGCAAATATGGAATTCTGGCGCCGACGGGTATCGGCTCAATAACGCCGGACAGTCTCCGATCGAATCAGCAGTAAATGGTGAAAGCGGCATTGCCAATTGGCTATCAAAGGAGCAGCGCGTGAAAATACCCATCACAAGGAATGAAAAGATCAAGCCGGCGAGGATGATAATTGAAGCGCAGCGTCAGCTCAGGATACAAGAAATCATCGTCCGACTCTTGCATAATTATGGGAACAAGGACATCCCAGACAAAGAGGGATTAAAAGAGATCCTGGAGATCATCAATAAGCAATGGGCTATAGAAAAGATGGATGAAAAGCTTGCTGATATCTGGTTACACCATTACTCCTTTACCGCTATGAATGCGTATATCGATAAAGCTTCAAAGGTCTTGGAAGTCATTTCTTCATCCGAAACCTTGTTCAACATTTTGTTCAGAAATCTTGAAGATAGTGGGTGGTTTATAAGAAAATCCGAATCCAAGGAAGCCAAAGTAAAGTACAGAAACGGTGCTGAAGAGTCGCGCAGAGATATAACTGGATTTCTTTTCGCCTTCATTAGCGTATATTCCGAACCACAATTGGCTAAGATCATTTCGGGTCTACCTAGTGCAGATTTGGCGGAAATCGAGACTTATCGCCAAAGTAAAGAAGGGGAAATGTTAAAGGCTGGAAGTGAAGCCGCAAGCGGGCATGAGAACAAGATCAGGTTGTGCTTCGAAGAGAACCTTCGAAGACTGGACGAGTTATCCAAATACAGATAGTTCGCAAATCGCATGGTGAAATGCCGCAAGAGGAATTTATTGCATATAAACTACGTTGATTGAAGTACTTAGCAAATCAACTCAAGCAGCCCTGCCAGTGAATACCCTGGAAGTACCCCGAGTCAAGATAGAGGGCGACAGAGGCCATTTGGTGAGATCAAGGAGTATGGTTGCGCTTCTAGAAGCCAAGAGACGTCTCAAAGTTGCGGATGGGAAGTAGGTGATGCCAGATCAGGGTTTGGCACAGATGACGTGTGAGACTATCTTGGCGAGAGCAACAGATCCATTGGAAGAGT